CTACTGGCTGCTGCCCCCTATGCTCCTGTATGTACATCAGAGCTTCTAGGCTAGGGTGGATGGGGCCAGGGTGGGTGCACTTGTATGCTCTGCCACAACTGTTCTATTGAATTTCAGAAAATATATTACAGTCTACTAATGTCTCACAATGGTAAAACTACAATACCTGCTAAGGTGCATTTCATGAGCTCAGAGAAAGAAGGGTCTTCGACATTTTAGCATTTTAGTAGGCTGTGTTAATATATTCTTTTTTTCCCTTTTTTTAGACAAGGTGTAAATCTATAGCTTAGGTGGGCCTAAAACTCATGGCAAACCTCTGGCCCTAATCTCTCAGGAGTTGGAACTACAGGTTTGAGTCCACATGGCTAGTCTACTTTCACATTTCCATTCTTCTACACATTTAGATATGTCCTGTTTTTTAATAACAGGGATTACAAGAATGATATATAACATAAAGTTCCCCCAAAGATATCCATGTTTGAATCTCCAGCATCTTTGAATATGGTTTTCTATATCTGTGTGCACATGTACATGCATGCATACATGTGTGATGAAAGGACCTTACAGATATGATTAAGTGAAGGGTCTTGAGACGTATTTTCCAGGTGAGCAGTGTCATCACAAAGGTTTGTAAAAGTGCAGCAGCTAGCACTGAATTATGGGGAGGGCTGTGATGCAAGGGCGGAGAGAAGTTTTAGATTCAGGAAGCATGAAGGAGGTAGTGTCGTCTCATAGCCTTCAGAAAGCAAGGCATCTTGCTCACATCTAGCTTTTAGTGACTGTAGTGGGAGGGCAAGCTCCTGAGTCCTTGGGTGGACTGTTTGGGTAGATCTAAGAACTGTGTTAAAACAAGGTTGATTAATGAGAAAAGTATACAAGTTTAAAACTATATTTTATGTTTATAAGTGGATTGCTTGCATGTATGTAAGTGCACCTGTGTCAAGCAATGTCTGTAGAGCTCAGAAGAGAGTATTGGATGTTGGATTCCCCTGGAACTGGAGTTATAGATAGTTGTTAGTCACCATGTGGGTGCTAGAATCAAACCTGCGTCCTCTGCAAGAGCAGCCGGTGCTCTTAACCACTGAGACAATTCTCCAGCTCATATGTTTTAGTAAGTTAACATGTACATGGAGACACGCACAAAAGAGAAGCACCAAGAAGACCAAAACAAAGATGTTAAACTTTCTAGATACATAGTAATACAGTTGTGAAGGAATGACGGAGCAAATGGATCTCTGAACTCAGCTAGTAAATCCTGGGATGGCACTGAGGTCTCTCTCTCTCTCTCTCTCTCTCTCTCTCTCTCTCTCTCTCTCCTACATCTGGGACCTACACATCTGGGACAGTTTGAATGAAATCCCCCATATATATGTCTATATGTGTATATGTGTGTAGTCAGTGGAAGGGTTACTCTAATGAGTTCCTTTACTCAGACTTTTTACAGTCAGAATTACTAGTCCCAGGAAATGCAGGCTATTTTCCTAACTTGGTATGAGGAGGACAGATTTCCAAAAGAAGCTTCACAGCTGACTGTATGAAGGTGAGAATAGGCCAGACGGTCTTTTAGCAGTTGTAGCTCTTCAGGTGATTTCAGCCTGAAGTAACCAATATACTAATTTGGCATATATTGAGATGATGAATACTTAAGTCCTTCCTAAATCACCTCATAATTTTAATCTCTAGAAAGGTATGACAATAAATTTATATTCTTTTAAGGCATCAATTTGTGGTTTAAAAAAGAGACTCACCAATGTGGAACACCAGTGACATTTGATGTGAGACATTCTAGGCAGCCAGACAGCCATGCTGGCATTCTAGGTCAGCATGCAGAAATACATTTCTCTTTACCTTCCCATCTCTTCCTCGTTCCTTTCCCTTCACTACTCTGGAGGATCTTGCTATGTTTCCCAGGCTGACTTCGAACTTGTGATCCTCTTGTTTTATATTACCAAGAGCTGGGATTACAAATGGGTCCTACTATGCTCAGTTAGAAGTGATTTTTGCAAGCTGCAGCATTGAACCCAAATTCTGGTGACTGCAACAATGCAAACACATTTACTCTCACAAAATTTGTATGTTCCTTTAAATAAAACAGATGATACGTTTTGAAACACTGAAGAAAAGGTATTTTATTTATAAATATGGAAGAAACAAAGCACCAATGTATCAACTTGGAAACTATTAAGAAAATATGACAATAAACACAAACTTTAGTTTTAGTGAATATTGTACTTCTCTCAGTTGCTTATATCTCACAATATTTGCAAACAGCTAAAAGATATCATCTTTTGAAAGTCTATAATTTTAGGCCTTTCCCATGGAATATTTTCTGAATATTGTATGCTACATTTTATTCACTTGTACATTTTGCTGTATGGCCATCAGAATATCTTGAACAGTCCTCACTCTGGGCTGTCACTCATCTGACCTTGTGACTGCCATGGAAGGAAGATCACACAGGAATAGATACTGTTGGAACAATTCACATGAATCGCAAAGTCATAGAACTTTTAGCCACAAGGTGGAAGAGCCACTGATCCTGCTTTGAACTAAAGTTAAAAGTACACTGTTGATGGAAATTAGTGGCAATTATGCTTATAGTAAAAGTTGAGGTGAGCGATTCATGGTGGCTGGAATGACTGAATCCAGGACAACCTTTGTGCTAAATCTCCCTGCTTAGACTCAGTAATAAAAATCCTTGACTATCACTGTTCAGCAATCCAGTGAAGGCAAGGTACTCTGTTAGAAGCTAGCTACTGAAGAGGACAGCAATGCTTCCTAGAGTTCATGTTTTTCATAGAATTCAGCTTCTTCTCAATCAACTATTCTTGATGGATATGCCTTTCAATTATCACTTGAGACATTTCTTTTCACTTTAATTTTCTTTCTTTCTCCCAAAGTCCATGGCACTAAAAAGAAGGTCATATTCCCGTACTTTCAAAAGAAAATTAAACATAGGGACCATTCCCTTGTCTCTTTATCTGGAACAAAGCTTAGCATATAAACTCACAGTGTAGCAGTATATCATTTTAACTGGGGTTAGGGGTAGGGGTAGGAGGGAGGCACCATGGTAAGGGAAGAATCCAACTAAACAACTACAAATGCAGGAGCAATTATTATAACAGTAATACACAAAATACATAACCATAATCATTTTCTTAAGAAGATCCAATTTGTAGAAGAAAAGCTTTAATTCTGTATGAAGCAGAATTTTAAAAATAATATTATTAGAGAATATGTTCTAGAAAGTAGAGGTGACTGATTTTGAAACTCTGGCAGCAATCAGAATAGTCCTAGATAGCCAGGTTGAGGCCAACATATAACAGAAATGAAAGCCTTGATGGTGAGGAATTGAGGATGGTATCTATTGTGCATAAACCAAATTGAATTGTTTTCACAATAAAATTTCATATAGTACTTCAATTTAATAGCAAAAGTGACATAGGATATTTAAACTCAGAAGAGAACATTCATTTAAAATGATTATACTGTCATAGTCCCTAGGACTTTCTGTGACCACAAGGCAGAAAGCAGGGTCCCCTGTGTCAAGATCTAGAAAGCAACCACCAACTCCTATGTGTCATCTCTTTTTGTATTTTTTCTTTATTTTTCTTAATCACCTTTGTTGTTTAGCAAAACTGGCAAAACCAAAGCTTTAATCACTGAACATAACACTCTGGCAATCAAAATACGTAAAACCTTCAATATTCTGGGGTGAAGAAAGTACTAATCAACATTTAGAGTCCTGATTAACAATGTGGTCACAATATTTTCTGGCCTAAAGACTGCCATAGGCATGGAGACATGGCTCAGTGATTAAGAGCACTGGCTGCTCTTGCAGAGGACCTAGGTTCAGTTTCTAGAACCCACATGGCAGCTAACAATCATCCATGACTCCAGTTCCAGGGGAATCCAATGCTCTCTTCTGGTCCCTGTGAACATTGTATATACATGGTGCATTTCCATACATGCAGGCAAAACATTCATATAGATAAGAGAAAGAGAGAGAGGGAGAGAGACAGAGAGAGAGGGGGAGAGGAGAGAGAGAGATTTACAACTTTCCTATCAGGTCAACCATGGGAGTCTTGACTTAAGTTTGTTTAAAGATAGCATAAGAAAATTCTGGATCTAGAAAGAAATAATAGTTCAATAAGGTCCATCTGATTTCTTCCCTTTCATTAAGTATTCACAGGTGTTGAACAGTGTGGCATCAATGACATCACCCAGTATGAGGTCACAAAGTCCTTTGCAGTAATGCCATCTTTCATGCAGAACTTTTCTACAGTGGCTGGGTCAAGCTCAACCATCAGAACTCTCAGAGTTTGATCTCACCTTCTGTTTACCTGACTTGGAAATCCACAGTACCAAAATACCCACAAGTCAGAATTCAAACATCTATACAATATGCTGCACTGTTAGGGGAAACTGCATTAAGAAACTCTTATTTCTTCCAGAAATTCTGGTGTGGGTGCCTTTGGTAAGAAGCCTTCATGAAATTCTTTGAGCCAATCCTACTGTAATCTTTTGCAAGCTTCCACAGGGAGCCAGTGTTTTCAGGAGTGTAGATACCACATCTTCAAAGTGAAACATCTCTTGGAGACAGATATACTACTTTCACTGAGTACATATGCTTCGTGCTTGTCATTCTTTGTCATACTTGCATCGACCATTGTATAGACTTCAAAAGTACATCCTGCTAAGATCTTGGGGTATTGCAAAGTTCTCCAAATCCTTGGTTTGTGTCAGAATGTTGCCTGGATACCCAGCAGCTTTTTGGTCCCTTCAACAAATGTATAGCTTCCATTACTGTGTGACTAGAGAAAAACCAACAACAACAGAAAATTAACTCAATTTAATTTATTCCACAACTGTGGATCATTGTGGCTACATTACTAAATCTCAGGTTCCTAGTGTGAGATGATGTTGCTGGCCAGGTTGTACAAGCCACATGCTTTCTCTTCATTTTGTTATTTCCAATGAGAACTAAGTATGAGGGCATGATGTCAGGTACTTAGACGAGGGTTCTGTGGCAATTTTATCACTACCTTTCATACTTTGTATTTTTCCTCCAACCTGTGATTGTCCAACATCCTCACATTCCTTTCCTTTTATTTTTTATCATCTAGGTAAAGAATATCTATGCACTTCTAATCAGGTAATTAAAAATCAACAAAACAAAAACTAACAACTATTATTTTTCAGAAAAATATCAGAATACAATGATTTTATTCATGAGTAGCGTCTATCTTTTTCAAACATTTATTTAGTATTTTTATTCTATGTGTATGAGTGTATTGCCTGCATGTTTGTAAGTGCACTCATGTCATACAATGAAATACCCTCAGAGGTCAGAAGGCATGAGATCCTCTGGAACTGGAGCCTCAGATGGTTGTTAACCACCATGGGGGTGCTGGGAATTGAACTCAGGTCCTCTGCAAGAACAGTCAGTGCTCTTAACCACTGAGCCATCTCTCCAGCCCCCCACATCTATCATTTTTACTTGCAATTTTCAAGTTTTCTTTAAAATATTTCATATTTTAAATAATTTATTTAATAATTTTATTTTAAATTTTCAAAGTTAATTATGACAAAACAGATGAAATCAAATAAACTTGTCCTTATGATCTGACCACTATGAATCAATAATTGATTTTAGTTTTCTGTATTCTTTGCCAATCCTTATACCCAAGAAACAGAATTTGTATTTGCAGACATAAAACAAGTCAGTAATACATGGGAAAATTTTCCTTTTCAAATTATATTGTAAGCATATTGTTGATTTAATTGACATTATTGTTTTAAAAATTTATTCATTATTTGTTGTATGATTTGATTAACAGCCTTTTGAGATGTTTGTTGCAGATATTACATATCAGTATGTGTGACCTAGAGGATATGAATGTTTTTCTTTAGTTACTCAGGGGAATAACAGCATCTTTCTTTCCTCTTTCACTATTCATAGTGAGATGAGAACAGAATGAGCCTCAGCTTGGGGCCCTGTGTATATTACTAAAATGAGGTTGCTATGACACTAGATGTTGGAGCAAGGAATTTGGTTTCATCAGGTGTGGAAAGTCAAGAATACAGGCAAGCCATGGTGGTGAACTCCTTTAATCCCAGCATCTGAGAAGTAGTCAGATCTCTATGAGATCAAGGTGAGCCTGGTCTTCATAGAGAGTTCCAGGCCAGCTGGCGCTACAGGAAGAACTTGTCTCAAAAAAAGGAGAGAGAGACGAGAGAGAGAGAGAGAGAGAGAGAGAGAGAGAGAGAGAGAGAGAGAGAGGAGAAGAGAGAAGAATACGGGAGATATGGGCAGAGTTCGAATTTGATGAGTAGGCCAATGGTTTATTTTTTTCTTCATGTTTGGCAGGACTTTGAGAATGGAAGTGATTCTGGAGAAGTGTGCTACACAGTCATTAATCACAGGGTCCTGAACAGATTCTCCTTGAATTCCAATGATGATGGTTATGAGAATGTTGGCTGCAGAAGGAGAGTCAGGCAGCTCAGAGAAGATGAAGAAACAGAATATGCCCTGATCAGGACTTCTGTTATTGGCCATACTTCTTGTACTCCTGAGCATGATTATGAAATTGTGCTTCCACAATAAAAGCCTCAGCTGTTGTGTCATCCTCCATCAATGGGAATGAGAAGAGCAAGCTGTTCCATCATTCTCAGCAGTATACAAAGCCTTCATTTTTCATCATAGTTTAGACACATACCTGCAATTCCAGCATTCAAGAGACCATAGAAGTAGGATCTTGAATTCAAGGCCAGCTGCCATAATGGGAAGATCATCCCACACCTATCATCCCCTCCAAGGCTCAGGAACTTTTTCAGAAGAGGTTGACAGAAACAATGTAAGAGCCAGAAGAAGGGGTGGAGTGTTGTTACCTGGAGGTGTCCTCCCACCACTATGCCAGCAAGTTATAGTCACGCCTCCTCCCCACACTCATCAAGGAATTGAGGGGGGAGTCAGTTACCCCTCCCACCCAATCAGTCTACTTTAGCTGCATGTAGGGAAGGGGCTAAGGATATATTAAGTGGAGAACACAATGAGGCACCTCTCACTGTTTTGTGTGGCACAGCTGTAAATGGGGGGCACCCATTCTTCTGTAAATGAACCCCCACCTTATGCTCTGTTGGCAAGCCCAATAAACTCACTAAGATTTTTAAAAAAAAGAGCTAATGGAACCTTCATTATTCCACCAAAGTTGACCCCATATTGGCAAATCCTTTGGTGTTTGATTTCTTATTCTTATTCCCTGCCCCTTAAACTTCATTTTGTGTGTATATATATACACACAAAATGAAGTTTAAGCCTCAGCTTGGGGCCCTGTATATATATCTGCTTCAAGTTATTTCTGGAAAATGTGTTTAAATTGCCTCTCTTTGGAATAATAAAATATTCTAAAATTAAAAGAAAATCATTATATAGGCTTAGAACATTCTGAGTAGTGTCACTGTGGTCTGTATGAGGTGCATACGTTGACATAATGACACAGAGCATTCTGCATGTTTGTGCTTATAAAGTTTGAAGGCTTAGAGATGATGGAAGATCTTCCTAACACAATAATGACTCAAAGAAAGGAGTCCTAAATCTTCAATTCTAATCATCTTTGTCGTTTCAAATGCTAAGGTTTTTGCTTACAAGACATTTCATTTCTCCAGCCACCCACTGATGTTTCATTTTGAAGTGTAATCTACTTAATTAGCCATTAAACTGTTTGACCAGATAGCAGGCTCTTTGCTAACCTGATATTTACTTCAATTTTGTCTTCTTGTGTACTGGGGAATCCCGCTTATAAACTTTTGAGGATAGCTTAAGAACCAGTGAGTGGTTTTATTATACCAGGATTTCTGAGAGGAAAAGCTGAAAATGTCCCAGAGGGAAAAAAATGAACTGATTCATATGTAGCCTGTCTATCATTACTTTTTGTCCAGCAAGTAGGAAGTTGGAAAATTCTGTTCAAAGACTAATAAAAAATGAAAAAGAAACCTAGGAAATAAATTTGTGCTTATTGCTTTGTTCACAACACACCCGTTAATTTGATGTGTAAATAGGTATTTTTCTGAAGGAACATGCATAATGTTCGGATTTGAAATTCCAGAAATTTGTAAATAATCCTTCAGTTTATATTTCCACTCTCAATGAATAAAATAATGATACACCAACTTCTGGAGAATGCCACACTCATCCTCTTCATAGGCAAAGCCTTCATGACATATTTTTTCTATATAGTTACAATATAGAAACCTTTGGATGATAGACACAAATCAAAGCATCAATCAATAGATGATCCTATTCAACCTAATTTGCTGTTCAGAAGGTTTGACTTTCTTAATTTTTTATTCTTTTATTTGTGGCCTACAAGTTTCAACTACATTTTGTGCTCCCTTGTGATATCATTGTTCAGAAGAACTTATGAGAAAAATTTTAATTTTATAAAAAATCATTCTGTCAGAAATAGTTCCACCTTAGAGAAATCAACCAATTTAGCAAAATGATAAAATGATATATTCCCTGCATGGCTTTGTAGTTATTTTAATAAAGAATAAATATGATGTTTTAAAATAAAATTGAGTGCAATTGTATATCAGCTCATGGGCTTACCTAATTCTTGGTGGAATCTGGTCAGGGACTTGGAAGAACATGACTGGAAAGTTAGTGACAAGGACCTTTGTGGAAGTCATATAGACAGACCTCTCATGTTAGGAAAAGGTATAAAGACACTTTGCTATGTGAATGATCAGAAAAGGATCTTTTTAGTGGCCAAGTGAACAGGGTGACACATTCTGTGAACACCAGATAGTTTCTTTGCTACCTGCCGCTGTTACCACCTCAGGCTCCTGGGCAGTCATAGTGGTAGGCTATACCTGGCTGCTAAGATGATTCTTCAGGTGCTGAGATAGGCATGAAACCCCCACTGTCGCACCATCTCCAGGATGACCAAATCCATCAAGTGGCAGACTGACTACATTGAATGATACCTATCATAGAAGGAACTTCATTGTGGAAGAGACCTTTTGGGTATGTATTTGCCTTCTGTATATGCAATGTGCTTTTAAAACTATTATATGTGGACTTAGAGAAGTCCTTGCCTATGTTTTTCCTTGCTTCTTGTCTGGAACTTGTTTCACAGCAAGGGAAATGTAGCAGTGGACCTATAGTCATGGAACTGCCCATCATCCTGAAGTCATTGCTTGCTTATTCAGGGGAATGGCCTTTGCAAGAGTCAGTTTAGCAGCAGGTAGGCAGTAAATTTTTGCAGAGTTGAAGTACATCTTCCAAGGGCTATAAATGCTCTGAATCTATGTTTGCAATGTATGCTATTGTCACGCAGTAGAGTCACAAGCCTAGGCATTAAAGTTTGACCTTGGCAGAAATAGCACACTATGTTATTCTCTGTGATCTGTTGACAAATGATTTGTACTTTGTTTCTATGACCCAAAGCTCTGCATGTCTAGGGTTTTTACTTCTAAAGGATAAACCTAGACCAGGAGAGACATTAATGATTCCATTAAAGCTGGAATTGAAGACTGCTATCTAGCCACTTACAGATTTTCGGTAAACATTAGTAAACACAGTTCTGAAGGCTACAGTCTACTGCAAAAGACAATGCAAAAACAATCATAAAATTTCAAGGAGGAGATGGAGTAGAAGAGACAGAATGAAAGGAGAGAGAGGACGGGAAGAAGGTTAGCATTGACCCTGAAGAATTATAGCCAGCGTGGAAAATTGACAATATTGAGAAGTGCTAAGTTATTTTCAGAGGCAGTTTCATTTAATATAAAACTTGAAGGATGATAAGATGAAATCTAGTGTAAGAAAGGGGAAATTTGTACAAGATTGGTTTGAACATAGATCTGACTATGTTTCTCAGGCAAGTGGCAATTTGGCAGTGTGATGGGCTGGATATACCACTATGAATCACTTAGGTAAGTAGGACAGTTCTGGCAAGTAAGAGAAGTCATGCTGATTGGATGAGATAAACTTTCTCTAATGATATCACTCTTACCCTTTTGAATAGGAGAATGAGAATAAAGTAGGGTAAATATTCATAAATATTAATTTTTCTATTCTTGAAATTTTTACACATAAATAAAACATGATCATATCTACCCCCCTTTTGTCCACTCCAATCCTCCAAAGCCTTTGCATCATGGCTCTCTCCAAATTTCATATATTCTTTGAGATTTTTTTTTGGTAACCCACTAAGTCTGGTTTGGGATGCCCATATGTGTATGAGTGTGTGGACATTCCACTAGAGCATGGGAAATCTACCAGTAGCCACAGATTAAAAAAAAAAAGAATGATTCTCCATCTACCAGGAGCTTTCAACTGCCAATAGCTCCTTGGTAATAGGTGGGGCCTGGAGAATACCTCTTATATCTATGGTAGAATTTTGGCTGGTTGGAGCTTGTGCAGGTCTTCTGTAGGTAACCACAGCTACTTTGAGCTCATAAGTGCAATAGCTGTGTCAAGTCTAGAAGTTTGCATTTCAAATCACCACCCTCTGTCATCCAGCTCTTATATTCTGTCTCTTCTACTGTGATGTTCCCTGAGGCTTTGTGGTGGTACTGGTGGGATTGGTAAAGATGTCCCATCTAGGACTGAGCATGAGACTGAGTACCCTTTAATAAAATTGCTAAAAGATCAAATTTCCCACAAATTGTCAATATCCATTACACATCTTCATATATTTTTATTGGTTCTTTTCTCCTTTCTTTCTTTTTTTTCATTTTTGTTGAGACAGTGTATTCATTACTGTTCTGTTGCTGTGACTGCACACCATTACCAACACAACTTATAGAAGGAAGAGTTTATTTGAGCTTATGTTTCCAGAGGGATAAGAGTCTAACATGGTGAGGAGGCATGGCAGCAATCAGCAGGCATCATGGCAGGAGCCCTCATCGCCAATGGCAAACAGAGAGGAGCAACTGGCATGGATATGAATCCTTTGATCCCAACCCCAGGGACATACTTCCTTCAGAAAGGCCACACCTCCTAAACTTCTGCAATAGTGCCACCAATTGGAGACCAAATGAGCAAACATTTGAGTCTATTGTGGACATGCTTATTCAAACCACCACAGATAGGGTCCTGCTATGTTATTCAGGCTTGCCTCAAACTTGTACTCTTCATGCCTTAGACTTCTGAGTACTAAGTAACTGTTGGGAGCTATTAGTATAAGCACAGCCAGTATGTATATTGAGCTGTGGCAGGCTTGCTTGTTTATGATCTTTCACCTTGACTCAAGAGTTTGTGTGTTTTGCACACCAGTACCGAATTGTTCTGCCAAGTCAGGAGGAATGTGTTGTTAATTTAGGGAAGATGGTTAAATGGCGGAATTCACAACAAGTATTTGACTGTTCCTTGACCCTCAGATAAAGGTGGGAAATCAGCTGTTGAAGCTAATTGAGCTAAGCAAACGGTGGCTGTCTGATGATCTGCTGTATAACAAGGCTGAGCTGAAATAAAGTGGGGCTGCAGTCTCTACTGACAGTCCTCCCAAGTATCTTTTCTCTGTCTCTTGTTTTTCTTTCATCCTCACTCCCCTTTCAGGTGCTGTTCATCTCGGCCGGCTGGTACCAGCAAGTACCACTCTA